TGAACGGAGCGAACTATATACCATTTTTGACATTAGGATTTTGTTCTAAATATCAAATAGACGAAAGAAATCTATAGATTATCAAAGAGTGTGGATGTTTATGGTTGTTCTGTTGTGTGCACTATGTGTTATTTTTCAGGAAGTATAAGGCAATTCTTTAATAATGTTAAAAAGCAACAAAGATATGTTTTTCCAGTTATTTTAAACTTAACTTTTTATAAAAAGCATATATTTGTTTTTTATTTATCCTATAGAGAAATACGTGAAAAGAATATAGTATCTAGTATCCAAGGTGGGATTGTAACGTTGGAAAATAAATCAAGGACTATGTATTTTATTTACTGTAGGCATATTTACCTTTTGTATTGTCTATTCGTGGAATTTATAAGATTTTTAATAATTGAATAATTTGGCATCTGCCCGTGGAAACAAGAAAATTCTTTCTATATAGTACAAATATACTAAGGATGATCAAGATAAAAATATAACTTATTTTCAATAACCCTATAACCAAAAAATGACAATTAATATTTTCCTATGAAATTGCATCATAAAACGAAATCCCAAAAATAGTAAGTAAGTAAGTAAGTAAGTAAGTAAGTAAGTAAATATTTTTATTGACCTTCACATTACACTTTACAATTATAAACAAAAAATAAAATGAATAATAAAAAGTGATACAGAATATAGAAGACAGAAATACACATAATTCAATCCATCATGCACATGTGATGTGGTCAACCAGGACACTACCTCAGCTTGTGCTGTTGCAGTGAGAATCAGCTCACGCAACAGCGCTGATATTCTGGCAGAGCCTGTGGGTAGTGACATTTGATATAATTTTAAACAATAAAAATAATGTATGTGCTTATAATACTAAGTGTCCGTTACATTCCTGAACGCGAATAACGAGTTGTCAGTATACAACACTTCACCCCGCGACCCAACCATCTGACAGAAAGTTTCGCCTTATTAGTCTGTGACCTTGAAAGTTCCACCATATATTGACGTAAGCAAGCCAACGAGTAAAAAAAAAAAAAAAAAGAGAAATCCTACGTAATCAAGTTTACCCGATACACGTGACAATGCATTGCCACGTATACAAAGATGGAATAAAAAAAAGAGCTATATTGGACGTCCCAAACTCACCGCCAGTTCTTATAAACAAGAAATGAACGTCATTGAATCTAATCGGCGCCGGCGTCTCTCCTACCCCTCCATAGCGCGTCGCGACTACCGAAATGTAAGTGCTTTTCTATTTATTTGTCGATAACTGAAGTAGTAATAAGTGTTGTTTTAGATGTTTTTTAAACACACCTATTGTTTTAAGGTCACGCAATGGAGGAGGAAGGTCGTTCCAGCACCGTGAGGCAGCGAACTTGAAAGATCCACGGAATGCTCTAGTGTGATGCCTCGGCGTCAAGAAAATAATTTTGCAGGTTCTCATAGGATACCTATTGCAATCCCGAGCCCACGTGAGTTTATTGTACAAATAATCTGGTTTTTCTGATTTGATGACGCCAAAAAGCATAACAGCGAGGTGGAGTTTTCTGCGGGCCTCCATTTTTAATAAGTTGGCGTTATTAAGAAACGGTGTTACATGAGATCGAGGAGGCACACAGAAACAGAAGCGTGTACATGCATTCTGGACACGCTGTATGAGCTTGGCCGTCCTTGCCAGAAGACACGGACCATAAACAGTATCACAATAGTTGAACTTAGATAGAATAAGAGATTCACATAAAGTAATTCGAAGTTGCTCACTTAGATAAGGTCGTATTTTGTAAAGGAGTTTGAGACGATAGAAACAACTGCGCACACAATTGGTGATATGGCTTTCAAAATTAAGTTGGCTATCCAGAGTTAACCCCAGATTCCTAGCACTATTAACCTGGACTATGAGTTCATTATTTAATTGTATATTTAAGGGTCTGCTATCTAATCTCTGCAATTTCCTTTTTGATCCCAACAACATCAACTTAGATTTTTTTGGATTGATCACTAAACAGTTTGACTCACACCAAGCACTTATTTTAGATAGGTCACTATTGACTTTAGCAACAGCTTCTTCGTAGTTTTCAGGCCTGAATGAGATATATAATTGTAGGTCGTCAGCGTAGAGATGGTATTTGCAGTGCTGGATATTATAAGTCAGGTCTGCGCTGTATAATATGTAGAGGATCGGACCGAGTATCGAACCCTGCGGAACTCCACAAGCAACGGGCAGCGGTGAGGAATAAGACTTGGTGCCGTTCATATTCTCAAGTACTACATACTGCTGTCTTTGCATTAAGTAACTTGCGAACCATTTTACAGCAGGTGTGTCCACACCATAATAGGAGAGTTTGGATAGCAGCAAAGATGTATTTAGAGTATCAAATGCACGTGAGAAGTCCAGGAATATGAGGATACTGACCAGGCCTTGGTCCTGAGCTGAGAGGATATTATCCATCACATCGGCCAGTGCAGTAGCTGCACCATGACCCTTGCGAAACCCCGACTGGAAACTTGGAAGGATCCTGTTATCCTCCAGGTACTGTGTTAGTTGGTCAGAAACCACCCTTTCCAGAACCTTAGAGAGACAGGGAAGGAGACTAATAGGTCGCAGATCTTGAAAAGATGAAGGTGGATTAGCTTTGGGGAGGGGTTTGACCAGTGCTGTCTTCCAACTGACAGGGAATGTGCTTTCCACTATTGATCTGTTAATGATAGTTGTGATAGCCATTAAAGTATGTGGAAGAGTCAATAGTAACATTTCAAGTGAGATACTGTCACAACCCTGTGCATTGGATTTAAGCCCCTTAACAATCCTAATTATCATATCCTCACTCACAGGTTTCAGAGAAAATATGGCAGTTCCATATCTATGGTGTTCAAAATATGTCAACTGTGAGATTGCAACAAAACCATGACCAGGCACACTGAGAAAATGACAATTGATGACATCGGGATTATCAAAGCAGGGGGGGAGTTCGGGTATGGAATTCTCACTTGTTAATACACTCCTTTTTAAATTTTTCCAAAGTTTCTTTGGGTTTCTTATATGGCAGTTAATATATTTATTAAAGAAACACTTTTTCTCCTCCTCAATGGCTTTAACTACCAAATGTTTCATAGTCAAATAACTGGCCCTGTGCGAGTCCGTCCTGTGCATCTTGTAAGACTGTAGATAATTCTCCCTGATACGTATCATAGACTTAACTGTGTCTGTGATCCAGGGGTGAGGAGGGTGTTTGAATTTATGTCGCTTGAATGGGGCATGTAAATCAAATATATTAGTTAAAAAAGACGTGAAATTATCTACTAAAATATTAATATTGTTTGCGTTGTTAAAATGGCTCCAGTCGATATTATTAAGGTCCCTTTGCCATTGGTCCAAAATGATGTCATTTAATGGCCTGTACTGCACCCATCGCGGAGTAATTCTCCCCTTCTTTATTTTAATTTGTAACGTCACCATTGCATGAGCACCTAGATCAGGACAATGCTTGACCGTGACCTTTTGTGTGCGTGTGTCAGTACAAATGATATCTATTAGACTCTGGCTGTGCTGAGTGAAGTGTGTTGGCTCAGTTACCACCTGATTTAGATTCATTGTTTGAATGAATTGTAGCAATGATCGTGACTTACTGCTACCAGGATTAAGGAGGTCAATGTTGAAATCTCCAAGCAAAATCAGACCGTCACACTTGGTGAAAGAAGTAATAGAGTCAGTGATAGCATCCAAGAAAGTACTAACATCCACCCATGCTGGCCTATAGGCGGTACCTATCATTATCTCTTGTCCTAGCAACCGTACCTTCAACCACATTTGTTCGACCGTTGATGTGATAGGGTGAGGGTGGGTGCGAGCATTAATGCCCTTACGAACATAAAACCCAACACCACCACCACGTCCATTTCGAATATGTACTGGCCGAGGTATATGCCTCAAACGATAACCAGCAAGAGTAGGAGCTCCATTCTCTTCTCCCTTTCTTAACCAGGTCTCATTGATAGCTAAGATATCTGGGTTCAACTCCTCCATGGCCACAATAAATTCCTCCTGCTTAGTTGATAGTGATCCTGCATTAAAAATGCCAACTATAAGATTTCTACAATTAATCATTTTTTATAACTCTATAGTACCTATTGATGTAAGATAAGTTGATTAGATTTATACATTCAGATTCAGAAATAGGTTTAAGAAAAATTAACATAATATGTCCAACAGTATGCAGTAAATACTCATCCATAATCAATTGTAACATATATAGATAATTTTCAGTAAGTGATGGTACAACTATTTTAATACTGATTTTGTATAAGTATGGATATATGTAGAACATTAGAATAGTTTCACTGCATATAAATAAATATCTTATATTATTACTACATAATGAAGTCTCTAAATTTTTCCTTTCTGACTGTCCCACACACATATATATACCCAGAATGATTATCAAAAAATAGTCAAAGTAATGGACGAAAACTATTCCTAGCACAGTATTATACAAGCGCAGTATGCCAACTAGGGGTGTTACATAAACCGATGAGTATATTTTCATATATTTGCCAGGCACAATTGCAGATGGAACACAGTCACAGCCAAACATAGACACAATTACATTTAACAATGGGCATATTATGCAAAATCTATAACAATAAGGAAATTCAGAGTAAAAAAAATAACATATAAGAAGTTTAAAGGCTAGAATTGCCACAGAATTGATGAACACAATTATATAATATTTGATAACAGAAAAAATACAATAGAAAAGAAATCCTTGAAACAAAGAGATTTGTTTTAAAAAAGCATTACTAATATGAACCAGGAAATAATATAGACTTGCATGAAATTTAACAATAATCATGTCCTTCTGTAAAAAGTTTACATTTGTTAAAACTGCACACTTATAAATCAAAGAACAAAAACAGAAAATATATAAGATAGCATAGTGTACTGAATAACAAAGTCCCTTACATTTTAGAACAAAAATAAGAAATTGATCGATAATGAGTCATGCCTTTTGAGATACACAAAATACCCTTTCCAGATCCGTCACGGAGCGAAACTGGTAGACTTGAGAACCGTCCCCCTTCCTAGCGTAAATGCGACCACGCTTCGTCCAAGAGTATCTCCATTGCTGCTTGCGACACTCCTCACGGACCCTTTGGAAGAGTTGGCGGTTGGAGCGAGTTAACCGCTCATTGAGGTATATCCGGCCGCCCGCGGTGCCAGTGAAGTTGCGTCGCACCCGCGCAGCATGCAGCAGCTCGTCACGGAGATGGCGGCGAGACAGACGCACAATAACGCGTCGCGGCCGCCCGCTCGCCTCTGCCGGTGGCGGCCCCACACGCTCCGCGAATACTATGTCACGCTCCTCGATGGAGACACCCAACCGCGAGGCCAAAACGACGACGGACTGCGTGACGGAAACCCCTTTCTCCTCCGACATTTGACCGATATCAAGATCAGATAATAATGCCTCTTGTTCGCGATCGTTCAAGTCTTGCTTCAAATGTTCAATTGTACACCTCAATTCATCAGCCCCGCCGGCCCCGGTATCCAGCTTTTGTTGCTCTAGTGCATCCAACCTTATTTCCACAGAATTCAGTCGGGCCATCAAAGATTCACGTAGCTCTCTCATTTCTCTCCGAAACTCGCGCATCTCTCCCATAAAATCAGTGAGTTCACGGTACCTACTCTCATCCATACTCGCATTACCATGATTCTCAGCTGATACATTAGACCCAGGCGGAGAATCACAAATACTCTTAACTGGCGTATTATCTCCTTTTCGACTGCTCTTTTTACAACCGAGACATGCCCATTCCTTGCTGATAGTAGCCTTTTCAGGGATGTTTAAACAGGCTTTATGGAATTTTAACAGACACACCGAGCAGGCAGCGCCACCCGACGACGAGAGGAACTTACCGCAAGCCCCACAATTAACCATTTCTTAGAATAGTCCGCAAGATGGCCCCGCGAGAAAGGCACGCCTCAGACGAAAATCGGTTTGTTCGAAACAGTTCACACTGATGCCGCCAGATGGCCGTATGAGAGCAAAGTCGCTACTCCGCACTAGATGGCGCCTTTCCTCAATAATTTATAAGGCAGAGGCATAAAATGTTTAATCCTGTCACCCACACAAGTGAAGAACTAGTGTTAGTGTGAAATTAAATATGATCGAAAAAGTGCACCACACAGATGAATTTCGTAGCACCCACACAGTCCCAGCTCCACCGGCACAGCGCGAACAACAATAACACAAAGACAAGCAATCCCAACACGTTTATTATTTTTACTCAAGATAAAAACGGACACAGGCCACCACTGTAAGAACGTCCGTGACGTCACTCAATATATAGCTAATGTACAAATTCACTATGAAATCATGTCGGTTATAAAAACAACGTAAAAAAAACAATAACAAGGGACCAAGTAAATACAACGCAGTTGTACATCTGTTTTAACAATTGGTCATTTACTTAACCTAGCTTCCAGTGATGGTTAAATTTTTTGACAAATGGTTGTAATTCTGACAATTGGTTATGCTAACTATTAATCAAAAAACATATTTTTCTGATATTTAACCATTTGTCAAAGATTTTAACAAATGGTTGAGTTAACCACGGACCAAAAAACTGGCCCTAAGTATTAATTTGAAATAACGAATTCCACCGTCAGTTTTTATTGTTGTTTTTTTCTATAATTATTATAATAAAAACAGTTTAAATTAAGAGATCTGCTTTATGACCCGTATGTAGGTACTCATTAATTTGTTCAACATTGATTTACCAGACGCGATTATAATTAGGGCCACTGTAAACACATGTATACATTATATTCGGTATAGTAACCATTCAAATACATTCAATTGATTCTAAGATCAGAAATAGTGGTGTGACCACTATTTCTGAACCGTCTTCCGTCTATCGCTTCAGTATAAAATCGCTCACGATTCGTCAGTGTGAGAAAGCCCTTTCGTCAAAGTGAGCTAACAAGATACCCGATGCGGGCGAGATACTTGGTGATATAACATTTTGCATTTTCTCGCCGCAAGAATTACACCAGGGAGATGTCTATGCGTTTTTTTAAACAAATGATCCACATTATTGCGCGTCTGCAAAGTAAACAGCTTATTTATTTTTATTGCTCGAGAATATATTATATATAAAATAGTTGTATTTTATTAGTTTAATATTAAATTATTCATTAAACATAGGACTATTCGATAATATATAAATAAATTACTGTGAAAGTGGTTAAAATTATAGTTAAAAAAAAATCTCGTTGTTTAATATCTAAGGCTATAGATTTAATTAGCCCTTATGCTGAAAACTAAGGTCTGTAGAGTTATTCAAAATATAAGTGACTAGCGGCTTTTCAGAGATTTCACCCGCCTAAATTATAGCCTATGTAGCTTTCCGAAGGTGAAATAATTTTTTAGATAGGTCGAATAGTTTCGGAGCCTTTTCATCGGATAAAAACAAACAGCTAAATCTTATCTCTTTGTAATATTAGATCAACTAATCTTATCTTAAACTAGTGGACGCGAGCGACTTCGTACGCGTTTTCCATTATTTCTTCGCTCCTAATAGTTGCAGCGTAATGTTATATAGATTAAGCCTACCTCGATAAATGGCCTATTCAAAACAAAAATAATTTTTCAATTCGAACCAGTAGTTCCTGAGATTAGCGCGTTCAAACAAACAAACTTTTCAGCTGTAATATTAGTATAGATTTAAAATAACGACCATCTGTTGATCGTTATTTAAAGGACTTAAATTATACTTTATTTTATTGTAATATTATGTAAATATTAATAATGGCCTATAAAAGTCAGTGCGAGACATTCATTGTAATATAACTACGGTACAATGAAAAGTATCTCTGATAGTCCGGACACTCGTCGATGCAATTCTTTATGCAGAGAGTCAAGTATTTAATGTTTTAGAACTTCATGTATAAATGTTATTTCAAAAGTAAAGATAAACTGAATCCTTTTATTACCAGACCGCGGAAGGTTGAACTTAGGAACACCAACTATTGTTTAATAAACTTGCATAAAATATAATTATGTACTTATATGTAGAGTCCATGCTTCTTTAAATATAGGCACTCCATATGTATTCACTTTACAGGTGACGTTTATAGAAATAGATTGAAAAAAAATTGGTATATTTATGTTCTGATGAAATAATATATTTTTTATGGCAAATTTTTTCTTTCTATTTTTATACTAGATCAGTATATCCGTATTTATTAAAGTACCTGGTATCTCATCACTCAGCTTGCAATTATTTTTTAAAACACATTAAATTCACGTTTATTGTGTGGGAGCTCCTTAAATATTTATAGTTCCCCTTTAACATTTTTACTATCAAGCTATCATGGTTACACGGCTAATGAGATACAGCCTGGTGAAAGACAGACGGACAGGGGAGGCTTTTTTGTCGTATATGACTATCGGTGTTGTCGTTTTCCTATAACCTTGATACCTATCTCGTTCAGACATTACATATAATGTGTCGCCCGCTTTAAAAATACGACCGTTCGCTTTGTTTGGTGCAAACGTTGATAATAATGTGCTCAATAAATATTATTTAACTGCAAAATATGTCCGCTATGTAATTTTAGCTGGTTTAAATTTTTTTTCGGCGTGAATTTAAAATTGATAATCTTTGAGGAGGTTGACGGCACAGTGATTAGCCCTTTCAGTTTGCAATACGAAAGTTAAGTAGCTTTTGTAGTGCAGGTCATAGGATGGATGACCGAAAAATTGTTATTATCGAGAGCCTCCGTGCGTGGGCACAATAATAAAAAATTAAATATGGAAAAAAACAAAATGAAAACTCACTTCAAACTTTTAAAAATATGATAAAGATCTCTTATCTCAAAAGCTATTTATTTAAAAAATGCTATTGAATTCGGATGTCTATCATTTAATTAATACCTTAATGTTCATGTCCTACTTAATAATAAAATATAAATAGATAAAAAATGTATTCAATAATAATAAATAATAAATAGAATTACATATACGATAACAATATAAGATAATTTATACATAAATAATTATAGATATATTAATTCTAAGAAGACCTTCGCCCAACTTCAGTAGCATTTTATTGATTTTTTTTATATAGTAGGTAACACTTAAAATGTTAAATATCAATGTAAATAAAAATATTCAACATAGTGAAAGTCTTGGAAAAGAAGATTTTATACATAATTTATTTTAATAATTCTAAATTGTAAATTACCTTTCGGATATTGAAGTAATTCTAAATACTTTGTTTTTAGCTGAAATGGGCCATATCTTACCATATCAACTAAATATTTGGGTGATATTTGGTGGAAAGCGTATTTTGTTTTGTTATAAAAGGAAAACTACTGATTTGATTTCGAAAAAAATTGAATGGTCCAGCTGTCGAATAAAAAAAGAATTTTGAAAATCGGTCTACCATGGGTGAACACACATAAAAAATTACATCGCCGTCGAACATACAACCTCCTTCTTTTGGATTTTGAAGTCGTTTTAAAGATAGTAATAAATGGAATATATATTATAAGAAAGAGACGAAAGAAGGTGGCTAGGTATACAGTTGAATCCTTGATTGCTATACAGGTAATTTGCCAGTGTATGGATTCGAGGAGCTCTATGGTGCAGTAGTTATCGCGCTCGGTTAACTGCCTGTTATTTATTATTATTTTTTATTATTATTGTGATAAAGACAACATACGTTTATTACAATTATCACACATTACAAAAAATATAATAAATATAATAATAAAATAAGACAATAGTTTAAAAATGACATACGTTAAATAAATAATTAGTGTGCCTCAATGATATTGTTAACTTTAACACCCCTATCTTCATTATTCATTTATATCTCTCCATCCACTCATTGCCTGGAATAAATCGCTTTAAGCGATAAGGCCGCCAATTGTTACATAATAGTGTTGATTTACTATAAAATTGTATCAATCAATTGTGTAATGTCAACAATAAATAATTTTATATTGTATCGTATCCAAATAAATATAGTGGAATAATAAATTTCATTAGATATATTAGTCGCTATCTTCACTCAGAGTAACTCCATTGGTCCCTTACACTATCACAGTATATCAATAATTACCGCTTGATATTTCCCCAATTGTCAAACGTAAAAAAAATCATAGGATGGGTGACCAACAATTTATTATCTTCGAGCTCTTCCGTGTTTCGGAAGACAAACTAAATCTTTGATCCAAGCTGCATCTGCAGTTGTTAATACCCACCAATCAACACGGCCCAGTGGTGGATCATGTACCATTCTCCCTATCCGATTTGATCCGATTCCATCCATTGGGAAGGACTGAGCAGCCCAGCATTCTGGACATTAACAGGCTGATGATGGTGTTTCGACTTTCCGATCTTATCTAAAAGTAATGAAATTGTCTTTATTCTATGACAATTAACAAACTTCTGTTACGGACAACACAATGATTGATATTAAGTAAGTATGTAGTCAGTTAAAACTAGTAAAATCCTAACAATTATTTCTGATATTTCACGGATCCAGGTCTGCTGTAGGGATCCAAATAATTACGACAACGAGTTCAGGGTGAATATATGGTTTATTTTTTTTATATATTAAATATATTGTTATACCCATTTTGTGAGTAAAGAGGACGATGGAAATGATGCCGCATATGCGTCTCACAGTTGTATCAAACTGGTATCTAGTTCTTTCACTTCCAAAAAAGTAAAAAGAGACCGTCGCTGATTTTCGGCTAGATCCCATTGTTTGTAGTTACTCATCTTGGAATCTGAGCAATGTATGTGATGTTGTCTAATATTTATATTTATTTATTAATTAATATTTGTGTAACTGAGAATGATAGAATTCTTACGCCGTGTGAGCGTTATATGCACAGGCGTATAACACTTGTAAATAACACTCA